ATAAGAACACTGGGAATATAAATTTTATAGACAACTTACATTATAAGATATAAACAAAAACAAACTATTGTATACCATGATATTCATTGGGTGAAAAGGTTTTTTACCGAATATTTTGCAAGTTGGACACTTGCTTTTATATCAATATACTTGTTTGAAGAATACTCTGAAGAAATATACACATTTTAATACTCATTCATATTGCTGTTATAAATTAGTATGTTTTATATATGCCAATTTGAAAGTGAATATATCATTTTCAGTTGAATAGGATACAATTTATAATTGTTTTATAAATAGTTTATTATTATTAAATAATGATACATCTTTTTAATAAATTTATTACAACATATCAATAAAATCGAACCCATGTATCTTTCCTATTCAGTAGTATTAAGGTTTTTTCAATACATTATCCGTTTTCATTGTTGTCTTTACAGTTTCTTCTTGCATAGGATGGGCCAATACTTTATCTATAATTCCAAATTCTTTGGCTTGTGGTGGGCTCATAAAATTATCTCTTTCCATACTCTTTGCTGCAATATGATTTTTATAAAAGAAATTTTGTATAGTAAAGCCTATGATATGGCAGGCATACCTATTTCTTCTAAATTTTGTCCAGTATGTTTCACATATAGTTCATTGATTTGTTGTTTCAGTTTCAGGATTTCTGTAGCTTGTATCTGAATATCTGTAGCTTGTCCTTGTACACCTCCTGATGGTTGATGTATCATGATTCTAGCATTTGGTAAAGAATGACGCATACCTTTGGTTCCAGCTGCTAAAAGTAGACTTGCCATAGAACACGCTTGACCCACACACCATGTAGAAATAGGCGGAAGGACATATTGCATAGTGTCATATATTCCAAGTCCTGCTGTTACACTCCCACCAGGTGAATTAATATACAAGTGAATCGGATTTTTACTGCTTTCCGACTGAAGAAAAAGAAGTTGAGCAATTATTGCAGAAGCTACAACATCTGTGACCTATAAAGATGAATGACTTTATTTCTATAAAATTATAAATTAATGTGTAAATATAATAATAAAAAAGTTGTGCATCGTACTGGACCCATAAGACAAATAATCCTTTCTTTCAGGAGACGCGAATAAATATCATATGCACGTTCACCACGTCCACTTTGTTCCACTACAATTGGAACAAAGTTTAAATATCTATTGCTTACTTTCGGTCCATAAGCCTGTTAAAAAAAGAAAAAAAAATAAAGCTGATTTAATTTGTCAATTTCCACAAAGAAATTATTTCAAAAGAATCATTTTTTGCGATATATTTTTATATTTATAAAATACTCACCGTGATCTGTAGTAACCTATGTATTTTTTGCAACATTATGACAGAATGGTAGCAAAATAATTATTTTAAAAGGAATGTTTCTCAATAAGAGAATTTACGTAATGAGATATGGGGGCAATTACAATAGCTCTGTGTAAGGACAAATGACTTATTACGCTATAAGAAATATAAAAATTCCATGTCAAATATAACCTATATTCTAAACATACACTAATAGAAGTACTAAATAAATTCTAAGAGATATTCGTTAAGAGATCGTTAGGAGATCGTACAAAAGTGTAAAAGAAAAAACTCTTTTATGCCTTAATGTTATTAATTTGCTTCTTCTTGTTATCAGATATAAATTACTATGTTATGTATATATGTCGTACAGGTTATGTGTTTTACATTTCTCAAAATACGCTCTCCTTCTCTTTCAATCGCATCAGAAAAAAACTTGAGAGTGAGAAGGATCATTCAAGCTAAATTGAGAATATTGCACCACTCTTGCAGCGCACTCTTCAGATGCATTTTATCACTGTGTAACAGTTGACACGAACCAATTGGAGAGCCAGTAATCTTTTGGTAACACCACGGAGGAAACCAAACTCAAACAGTCGGAAAAAATCTCGAAACACACAGTGCTGGAAAAGCGCTGTATGTTCCATAATGGAAATCGTAAATAAGGGCCGGTTTCTAATACTAATACCGATCAAGTTTAATCGTAATTAAGTCAATTGCAATTGATCGATCTACTAAACAGTAAACGCTTGATCAGTCAACGGCCGATTAAACTAATTGACCTTAAGTGAATATGTTTTATAGTTTACATCCACTTCTTCAGAGGGCAGTAGTGCGCGGAGTATTTTGCGATTACAAGAAAAAGACCTTCATGTCCTCTCTCAGATTTCTCTCTGTTTAGTACATTTACAAACATATATATTGCATTATTCCTTATCATTTTCTGATATAATAATTCTTATGTTGGAACACTTAACAGTTTTTAATAAAAATGATTCGCAATTGTGATACACTATCTTTTACAAATAACTACAGGTTTCTGTTAATTTTTTCTTTTAATATTTTTCTTTTAATATATTAATTTAAAAAAGAAAGTAGCATAATTGCACTATATGCAGAAACAGGATTAAAAAATTTTGTGTTATTTTTTATTATTTTCTTTTTCTTCAAGTATCAATTTTTTTTTCTTTTTCAGAAAAAGATATATTTCATGTAAGGGAAGATGGAATAAGAAACATAGAAACATATGTCTAAAGTCAAAAGCAGTGACAAAAGTTACATGTCCTATTCCACTTCAAGCATATAATTCTAAAATGAAATTATTTCAGTCTAGATGTAAACTACGGAAAGGAAATCGTACTACGGCAAAAATTTCAAAATATTCTATTTTAGAAAGCAAGAATACAGAGCAGGATATGTGTCATAAAATTCTAAGTACAGATATTGGGCTTACAGGACATTATAGAAATGTTAATTTAGATAGTGTTATTCCTGCTTTGTCACCAATAATGACATTGTTCAAGAATCGGCATAATAAATATAATTATTTTGATAAGTTGAAATGTATAATAGATAAAGATAGAAAACAATATCCACCCTTAAAATTCAAGCATCAAATTCATGTCCATTCACTACAATCTTTCTTTGGTTTGCTGATATATGAAAATGTTCCTCTTGAATTATTTGGCACCTTAAAAAATCAAAAGGTTATGAAGAAGACAATATCTCGTCTCTTAAAGACGATTCCAAATAAAATATTAATAACGAATGCTTTCAAAAGAACTGCACGAAAAACAGTTGCCACTGGGGCATCGCTAGTTGTGGAACTATTTTTCAGGAAGTTGGATGTATGTTTGAAAGTTTAAAAAAATTATAGAAAATTTTGATTTCTTGTTAAGACCATTGTCATTTTTTTTTATCAATTTCATAAAATTTTCCAATATTTTCTGCATTTTCTTTTCTAGATTTCCAAAATTAATTGGTTACATTCAGTTGATGATGCAACAATACAATGGATAATTATACTAAAGCTATTACATTGGTTTTTTGCACAATATATCATAAAAATTTTACATAAATATGTGGTCTTGATAGCAATTAGAAAGCAATGGGTTTACATCACAAAAGATGATTGGTGCAATATGCAAAATGAATATATAAAGGAAAAAGAGAAATCTGGTAGTCTTGTGCCATATATGACATCAAATAAAAAACGAATTACTGGAACATATAAATTTATTCCAGGTTCTTCTGGTTTGAGACCATTATATATGACAAAGTACATAAAAATCTGTTTAACATTCCTTCAATGTTGTTCTCTCATGCTACAAATAAATATAAATAATAAAGTGTTTTGTGTGTGTGTGTGTGTGTGTGTGTGTGTGTGTGTGTGTATATATCTTTGCAATTTTAGGCATGATACTAAAGTAAAGTATGATGAAATTGACGTTGTTTTAAGATTTCTTCAACAATTATATATCACGTACTTTAATGAAAATGGGATCCCAACTGTAGCAAGCTGCAAACATGCAATTTGTAGTTTTTTAACACCAAGATCTGAGAATCATTTATATTTTGTTCAATGTGACATTAGAGATGCATTTGGTTCGATATTACAAGGTATAATTTATTGTTTATCACATTTAATATATTTGTTATCAAATATTTTATTAATCTGTTTTAGAAAAATTATATGATATTATTCATATGTATTGTCGAGAATTAGAGGGATACATTGCTGTACAACTTTGTACTCTAAACAGACCTAAGAAAAAGCGAAATAAGATATACAAATATACAGTGCAGATTATATCTAATCACCTGAAAAAATTAATATCCAAACATATAGATCCAAGCATAGAAAAACCCAAATTACTTAAAAAAGTATGGATCACTTCTAAGCTGTATGAATTAATATTTCAACAAAAGGTAAAACAAATATACATAAAAGTTGTAATTTATATTAAATAATATTTTTATCGTAGATTAAATTAAATGGTCAAATACGTTCAATAAAAGCTGGTGTACCACAAGGTTTATCAGTATCTTCGATTTTATCTGATATATATTATCAACACATGATTAAAGAAATATTCTCTGAATATATGAACAATGGTCTTTTAGTTAAATATGTTGATGATATGTTATATTTTACTGCAAATGAACATCATGCAGCAAAGTAATCTTATTTATATTATTAGACATGTATGCGCGTATGCATATACGCATGTATAAAATAAATTATAAATCTTATATATTAATTTTTATTAGGTTTCTGGAAATAATTAGGAATGGCATACCTGAGTATGGTGTAAAATTCAATCTAGATAAAACACGAACAAACGTAGGAATGCCTTATGCATCCGCAGAAATAAAATTTTTAGGATGGAAAGTACCAATGTTTAATGTCGGATCCCATAAAATGTTATAATTGTGTTATCAGTATTTATTCTAAACTTTCCTTAGTTAAAACATATTGCAATCAATCGTTTATATTTTACAGATTATTATACTTTAAATTATTATACTTTAAGTACGCAATATCAGCTTACGAACAGTTAATTTTTCGTTAATTTTTCGCTGATCGCAACATTGTAAAATATGACACTGATGTACGTACGATCTTGAAAGAGAATAAATAAATGATATTAAAAATAAAAATTGCGTTGCTCAATTACTCATTTATAAATTATCAATATAATCATTCTTTCCTGATTTGGTTTTTTTTTTCTATGAAACATGTACGCCTCGTGTATTAAATGTATAATTAATTGGAAATTTCGTGTTAAATTATTTTAAAATCGCTTAAAAGACCTTTAGTTATATACATGTGTGTGTGTGCGTGTGTGT